TCCAAATATATCATTAGGCACTTTCTTTTGTAAGCATATCACAAAAGAACAACTGCTTATTTTACAAATTACATAGCAAACAACAACACTGTTGGCTTATTTAGTCCAACCTTTTTGAAATTGCTTAACTAATAAGCAGCTCAAATCACATGGTTGCCAAGAATAAAAATTCGTCTATTGTGACAGATTTCTGGAAGTACGTACGAAATTTCCAATTAACTTTCATGGCGTCTTTGTTTGTAACAAATACACTATTTTTTCTATTTATTATTTTACTTTCAAAAGGTATGAAAAATTATACTTTATTTACAATGAAGTAAAAAAAATATTCTCACCAATGATTGCAAAGAATTATTAAACATTTTCTATTTTAACAAAATCTCTATTTAGTCCAGAGTTGCCAATGAAAGAAGTGCTTATTTTATTTGTTCTCTTGCAACATCCTTACAAAAGAAAATGCTTATTATTAACACATGAAAATAAAAAAATTCAAATTTTTTATCATAATAGTGTGGCATCATATTATAGGCCGACATTCCAGTATAGCAACGTTGCCAGGACAGAAACTTTTAAATTGTTCAATTAAATTCCAGTTTATGCTAACTGGTCATATATGCCCAGCAGAAAATTTGAAACTTTAAGTAATGTATTTATAAATATTTATTTTATGCATATATTATTTTTCATTATTTTGATCTATATTTTCGAATTTTTTATTCTTCCGTTTGACTAAAATTTTAAATAGCTCTTTACTCTATAACTGTATAAGTAACATAATTATATTAAAACAATGTCTTCATATAATTCATTTATGAAAATACTACATCCTCTGTATGTATCAGACATAGCTCTTTAACTTGATAATTGCATATTCGTAGTAATATCATAAGCAATTAAACGCACCTTTTTACATAAAAAATTGACATTTAGCTCCATGAGAAATTACATAGTACGTACTAAAACTTAATATCAGCAATCAAAGAATTGGTGGATATTATAAAACAGAAGCCTTAGTATTTAAACAAAAAATATATCTAAGTCAAATAGTATAAATCACTCGTATACAATTAATCACTCGAAGAATTAACGGTTGACTAAAAGTAATGGGTTATTATACGTACATTAATTACACGTTCCTGGACGATATAAAGTTTTATGCTTCTGATACGGATATCTTATATTGCATGATAAAAATGATACATTGTTTTAATACGAAAATAGGCAGAGACTTAGTTTTAAATAAATACTAAAGCGACAACATGAAGAAAACCAAGGTAGTTGAAGACAATTCCCCGCATCTCATTAGCAGTGTGAATAAAATCTCTCGGACTTGAAGATTTGTCGGTAATAGTATTCCTAATACACCTTATCTCACAGGTTGATTGAAAAGCTAAGTTTATATGTCCATGCAAATAATAATAGTGGAATCATACAAGAAATATTTTAAAAGGATAAAAATAAAATTTTTAATGCCTAGCTTTTTGTCAGTTGTCTAACTTTTTGTTTTTTAAAGGCTCTTCTTCGAGTCTGAGAAATAAATGACTCCAGAAAATTCAAACCCATAAAGGGAATACATGCATACGAACATCAGCTAAATCACATAGATCAATAAAATTCGAATTGATAGCTCTGAAATGAAGGATTTTATAATAGATGGAGATTCTTTAGTGGCACTCTATGACAAAATAATAGTGACAATCTTAAATCTTGTTCAAAAAATCTTAAATTATTTGTTAAATAATTTGAAGAAGATATAGTTCGGTGATGTGAAGAGATAATTTAACAGATAATATCTGAATATCTGAAAGCCCCTTCACCAGTCACTGATACTCGACAATAAGTTTCTTACAGGTCACTTATATTACTACAAATAGTAACCACTTTAAACAAAGTACAAACAAAGTAAACTCCAATGAAACACAACTGTATTATTTAATTAGCATATACTAATCAGTAAGCCTGATATGCTATTGTATTAACAGTATTGTTTAATTAAAATTTACAACTAATTCACTTCACGAAGATTATGAAATGTGTAATTTTAGCAATAAAACGTAATCTATAACTATTCAGTGATAAACATCGCTTTACGGATATTGGCCTCATGCTCTACATAGAAGGACAATATATATTACTGGGCATTAAGCCGCTTGTCATATCTGCAACTGAGCTAGTATCCAAACATTTCATTGCAAATTTGGAATTATTTTAAGTTGAAGATCTGCTATTCGGAATACAAAAGGTCGTTTTATAAGACACTTACAGCATTATCTATAAATTTATGAATGTGGGAATAACATACCAAAAACAACAACTCGTAATAGCGTAGAACTTGGACTATGATCTATTAAAGTGCAACCTTTTAACATTTAATACCGCGGGTATTTTATAAAGTAAAGTTGCGAAACAAAAAGCATTATAATAACAATGATAATGTCATTGAACTATGAGAACACTAATACCCACCATCCAGAAATAATTTTTATTGCATTCATTATCATTCATCATGGTTGAGGGAAACCATCAACGATCTGTAGGAGTGGTAAACATATATGTAGATGTAGAACATTGAAATGCACTTCAACATAGCATATATTCCATGATGTCTTCGTCTAGACAGGATATTATAAACACATTATTTACAATACAGTGGAAACCATGGTTGTCTATGGTAAGCCAACATCCCGTTCAAGAGAAGTATCCACCTAAAATACTTAATTTTGGATAAAATGGATGTTTTAATTACGGAGTGAAGTATTGCTTTTAGGTAAATTATACACTCAAGAGAGATGACTATTCATCTGACGAGTATTCGTTAAAAGAGTTTTCACTGTATTAACTTTAAAACTGCAAAAGCTTTACCCAATAAATAAGCGAAGCTTTTCAAACTATTCTGAACTGTCAACAGTGAAAGCTTTCCCTCACTGATGTTTTTAAATTGCATTCTTATTATTTTTCTTATATCCTGACGGTCCATAAAAGTGAGAATAATTTTCCACACACAATTTCACACAACATCCTCCGATTCGAATCTTCAGAGCTTCAGTTTGCTTCAAACATATCACGGATTCGGTACGCGTAACTGTGGAGACCGCTCACAGCTACGAAAATGTAGGTCGGCAATTAAAGGAAAAATTGATTTTGAACCATAAAATTTTATGCTGAAATTTTATTTTTTAATTTAATAATAAAGGAATATGCGATTAATAATTGTGCTAAAATCATTAAATATATTATTTATAAATCAAAATTTATGTTAATTAGATGTTGTTAATGTGATGAAAACTACGAAAAATTACATAGTTTTATGCTTCAAAAATTATTTGCAATGTAAAAAATAAATTAAATTAAATGTAATTAAATGAACTGAAAGGACTCCGAATAAAATGTGATAAGGTAATTATTAAAAAAAAATGGCAAAATAAAAAAAACATGAGCAAATTTTATATAATATATAAATACGAAAAACTGTGAGAAAAGTACTTAATTAAATTACTATGACAAAGTTTTGGATAATTAAAACAAATAAATTAAGTGTTTACAGCGGCTTTAAATAATACTATTAAGTATGACAATTAAGTATTGTTATTTTTATTGAAAATATATGTAACTTTCAAGAATTTGTAACGGAAAGTATATGTCTTGAAATTGTCTATCATGTCAATGTCTCTCACTTTTTAGGTCATGTCTGATAACCTTAAAAGTTTTATTAAGTTAACCGTGTCAGATAAAATTATAACTTACACAAGAAAATAATCGAAATAAAATAAATTAATTGAATACAACACTATTAGTTTAATTAAAATTTATGTGACATCTAGATAGTTCCAATAATTAAAACTTTTAAATGGTTTTTATATAAAATTGTTCAAATTCCATTGTTATTTTTAGCTTCGAAAGCTACCGTGCGAGACCCATTAAAACCACCTTTTAGGAGCTAATAGTAAAAAATCACAGTCAGACCATAATGGTACACTACACTGTGTAAATTTTGTATTATTATTCAAATAAATAAACCTATTGTAAAATTAAAAGCAAAACTTTTAAGCTCTTTGTGAACTTGATGATTTAACTAAGAATAGAGAAAAATTAATATTAAAATGGTTAATTATCCGAAATTAATTGATTTTAATACCGGTGGTTAAAAATTAATCATCAATTTTTCATAAGATTTAATACCTCTTATTACATCAAAGCTGTATCAATGTGTAATTTATATACTTTTATCAAAACAGAGAGTAGTTCGATGCTACTTTGATCCATCCATCGATTCGGTTCTAAGGGGCTTTCATATCTACGGTTCTAAGGGACTTTCGTATCTCCGGTTCAAAACAGAGCTTACAAAATCATAAAAGTTCATTTCAATTATAATCCAATTAGAAAGTCGGAGATTCCTATTTGAAGAAGTTTCGATGCAGAACCGATTCATAGTTCGGATATTTTGGTTACATTTCTATCTCTGTTTCTCTTTCTCTGGATTTAATGTGTCTGTTATTTAATTTTGTATAATTATTTATTTTTTGCAAAAATATGATATCATGGGGTATAAAATTAATGACAAACAATTATTAGATGTAATATAAAGAAATAATCAAAATAGATCAACTTAATTAAAATTCACGTTCAAATCATATATAGCTTTAGGTTAAGAAAGTTAAGAAAGATCACAGTCGGAAAAGAGTTAATAATGTTATATATGTATATATATAAACTGGATTGTCCGTCAAGTTTGTACAGATTATTCAGTAGGGGTTCACAGTATGTCTTACAGCAGATGCCAAAAATATTTTTATATAGAATCAGTGCTTCTTGAAGTCGTCGAAAGAAAAAGCATATGGAATGAATATTAATTGTAAGCTTGTGACAATAGGTAAAATTCTGTAAAGTCGGAGAAAGTTAACCAATTTTACTCTCAAAATTAAATGATAGTTACATCATATAGACCAGATAAGTGATAATCTGCTTTAAACAATCTTTTGTCTCTCCAACGTGTAGAACCGATCAAAGTGAGAGAAATTAAGTCTTAAGCTGTTACTACAGTAAAAAAAGTCACTGATCACAACATCAACTGTGTTTGTTAGATCGCGTTTGGACCAGATGCGATCGTGTGCTAAACCAGTTTTTATATTTATCATATTTTTTGGATTTAACACTACTTTTTTCTGATAAAAAAACAATTTTTAATAAACACACGACAGTCTTCTTTATCCATTCTGTTGAAAATAATCAAACTGCAGTTAGCAATACTCATTGCTATCAGTAAAGTAATTATTATGATATCACGAAATGATCCATGTATCATTTGTAAGATGCTACTCTTTACTCAGGAAACTAATAAGTGTTATTGAGCATGTGTGACCATGAATAGGAAAAAGAATCTTTATCTGTCAAAACTGTCACCTCCGTCTGGACCTGGGTTAATGTTTAATTAAATTCCACTCAACCCATCTACACCTTATCATCGTTCCCCATCACTCCCAACCATTTTCTCACACATGTAATCGTCTTCTATATCTTTTGTAGTAGTTATTGTTGTTGTTATTGTAACCCGCCGGGACCTGCTTGTGAAGTCCCTTTGGGGATGATTGAACGGCGCTTGGTCGTCTTCGATGAGTGGCTCCGGGACGTAGACCCGGCCGTTCTTGGAACCTTCTACATCTTTTCGTGTTATCTGCTTACAGCCCAATCCTTCCAATTTCACTTTAAAGATGTACATATTTCATTTAAAAAGTTCATGGCATTGAAGAAATTTTTTTCCTATTATTCTAACATACACAAATTATAAGTTATGCTATAATGTTGCTAATATGTTATCATTTTTAAATAACATTTTTAATACAACGCTTCTTATATACTTATACTTCTTATATATATATATATATATATATATAACTTAAAAAAAATATATAATTAACTTTAATACTAATCAAGAGCTTCTTTTGAAATAATTTCAAAGTCAATCACGAATTTCGTTTACACTTGCTTTTATTTTCTTTTTCTTTTTTTTGATGTAAATATATTGTATATAGTTGACACAGATTAGTTATGTATATAAATATATAATATACACGAAAATATTTATTTGCGTATACTTTAAGTATATACTATATATACGTATATATAAACTCTACAAAATTACATTAAATATTATGCTCAAATACAAATTCTACAATTCACGTTAATACATAAGGACTTCATTTTGTTACTTTTTCGCATAATATATATAATATATAATATATATAAAAATAGTTCAATAAATTTGTGCTTTAAGGCCAATAGTGTAAAATGTAGTCGTTGATTTTAAATATTGTGCTTCTTAAACTTAGGCCAAATAGAAAAGAAACTAGCATAAAAAATACTTCTCATGTGAAAAAATGTCAATAATTACATGAAATTATTACCAAAAAAAAAAAAATACATATATATATAAAAATAGGAAAGTTGCGTTGAATTGAAATAATATTTTAATAATTGGATAGTTAATAATTATTATTAGAATTATTGTTGTTGTTGTTGTTGCGCTTAAAGCAATAAATAATTTTGAATGAAAGGCATCTTTGGCAAGCTCAGATGTTAGTCAGCCTAATTTTGTGGTGCTTGTGTCACAGCTTCCTTAACTTGATTAGAACTGCTTCCTCCACCGGAAGGCATTACCGACACTGTAAACGGAAAACAAAATTGATTTTATTCAAGTTCAGATAAAAAAAATTATAAAAAAAAATTTTTAATTCGTTAACCTGACTAAATTATTTACTTACTTATGGATTGACTGACTCTGACTACGTTAATATCGAAACTCAACTTTGCCAAACCTAATTTCCTGCCAATCAATTATTTCTTTTTTAGGATGCACAATTTAAAGAATTTTGGAATTGGTATAAAGAGTCTAAATATCTTACATTTATTTTTCCGATAAAATATGTATTAAATTAGTTAAAGAGTAGCACTGTAAAATAGAATAAAAGATCAGTTTTTTCGCTTAAATGTCATTATTTTCTTTTTTTTTTAATGGTTTAAACCTTCACCCAAATTTGATTTATTTTAATGGAAATATTTAAATTGTGATGAATTCTCAAAGCTTTGTTTATATTTAATCAAATATTTATTTAACGTTAAATATTTTAGTTTATACGTGCTCTTATTATTAGTAGTCATTAAATAAATAAAGATTATTTGGGACATTCACAATAAGCTCGGAAAACACTGTTTTCCCACCAACTTTTACACATAATTTTTTTGTGAAATTACTCAAAGTATACCTTGAACTAGCTATTTGGATTAACTAACTTATTGGTAACCTAGTATTGGTAACCGAGTTAGCAAGTTCTGTAGTTTAATATCCTTACTGGTTACAAGAACATCCCAGAGCCACTAATCAACCACGACGACCAAGTGTCGTTCACCACCACCAAAGGGAATCTGCAAGCAAATCCCAGCGGGTTACACCCATAATATCCTAACTATTCCTCTACTCTACTTAGGGTTTCTAATGACGAGTTCATTTGTATACTACTTTAGTAGTACCCCCTAGGACCTATAGTATAATTTTAGCAAATTTTTAATAAAGACTTTATAACTATATCTGTAGTTATTGAACACAACTTGGGTTGCAATTGAAAACTTGGAAATTCAAGCAACGAGGATATGAGGCTATAATGTCTTGAGATGTTGCCAGGATTGGATTAATTAACAGTAGGGAGTTTTCCAGAACCAGTTTATATAAAAAAAACAGTTCTTATATTATGATTAGGTATTTTATTAAATAATAGAATGACACTTATTATTAGCTCTTAGCAACAAGCCAAAGAAAGGAGAATTAACTTTAATAACTTTAACATAACAGATTTTTGTTGCACCAAAAATTGTTATTTTAAAAAATAGGAAAATTTATCAACCCTCAATCAACATAAAGTGTCAGTAAGTATTGCGAAAAAAAACGTACTATACTAGGTAATAAATATAAGTCAGCTTGTGGCTTTAATATTAATCACTTATACTCCTAAATGCAATGATAGATTTGATCTGTCGAACTCTCTGACCGCTAATTGACCTTTTCAACCTATTAATTCCATACGAAGTGTTCATTTTCTACTCATTAATAGATAATTGCGGTAAAAATTATAATATATGCCATAAAGGCAGTAAAATACTAAATGGTTCAAAGAGTGGTAAAGTCTACGCTCTGCACAGAACACCAATCTCCGCACGCCACCCTTTTAACTAATACAAATAATCGCGACAAAATTAGTAGAGATTTTTCTCGTCGTTCTATATACCGATTACTTTTTTCATATTAAAAATACATTAACACTTATTAAACCGAAGGTAACATGAATAAGGATAATATCATCGCAACATCATCATGAAGACCACAGCTTAAACTTACAAGGTTCTCAACAAGCGTCATCCACATTTCTGTGGGTAAAAAAAAACGCCTCTCATGTGCGGCAAGAACTGTCCTGGTTTAATTAAGTATAAGTGGTTGGTTATGTAGAAACCCATTTGATCTTGAAAGGCAATCACACGAAAGGAAGATAATAAAATATGTACCGAAAGAATAGGAGATGATTATATAGTAGATAGCTTAAATAAAGAATGGAGGAATAACTGAACTTACACTAAGTCCAAATATGAGATACTTTTATAAGATGCAGTCATAAATTAAAACACCTTAGGTTGCTATGTGTTATGGCAGGTAAATAGATTAGTAATACCTTAGCGATAGTGCTAAAGTTAGAAAACACATTGCGGATTGCTATGTTTAGGCGTGATAACTAACTGTTTGTTAAGTGTCTATGCCTGATCCTTGATTGTTGTTGTAGCCCGCAAGGATCTATCAAACAAATAACATGAAAGGAATTACAAGACAAATACCTGGGTTAGGACGTGGATAGATGTTGGTTATATAAGAACGAAGTGGTTTTTTAAGGAATGAAAATGTGTTAGGGAATTTTAAACTGAAGTCAACCAGGATCAAGACGGTAAAACCTAGCCACTTCTATTGAGCAGGTCTTAAGTTTGATTGAACTGAAGTTTATTTGAGCATTAGAACTGGAATACAGCTGGGCGATATCAATAGGAGTAGCGTTGCGGTTATGGGACATATTGGGAATTGACGCATTTATGCGTGACAAGTAATTGTTTAGTACATGGCTATATCCTGACCTCAATTCAGTCGTGACAGTTCTTGCTTCTTGTGCGGTTCCTCTTGGCCTTTCATGTGCAGTAAAAACTTACCTAGTTAGAAAAGAAGCACATGAAATAACAAAAGGTATACCGAAAGAATAGGAGGGAATTATGCAGTATAGTAAGGCTAAAGAATATATGGAGAATAGCACTTGGTCGTCGTAGAGCCGATAATTGTTGAAACCAAAGGTATTATACAAGCAGGTACATGTTTGTTTTGATTTATTGCCGTAAGTTTTGTTAGTATAATTAATGTAAAATTTACAAATCTAAACCTCGAATTATCAAGAAGTAAGCTATGTCGGCGTAAAGCGAAATAGGAGAATATTTGATAAAAACATTTAAATAAAAGCCGTTATCAAATCAGTGTGCCTGAGTACTCAGAATCGCGACAAAAATTATACTTTTAGAATTTATACTTATAATTTCAGTATTCGTTTTTCTGCTTAATGTTATTATTTAAAAAAAGCAATTAAAATCTATATTTGACTAACACGCTAATCCCTTGAACCTCAATATTAGAATTATTTAAAATTGCATGTTTCTACACCTTTCCATATAATTATTTTACTTTAATTATTTTTAATTGAAATTATTGTTAAACAAAGTTATTTTTAAAGCTTGTTGCGCAAACTTTTTTGTTTATAAGCGCTTTGGTTTGTTTAGTTTAAGTTAAATGAAGTGCAATATAATTTTTTATAAGTTTGTTGAATAAATAAAAATAACTAATTATTATACTTTCTAAACCTATTATTCTTTTTTGTTAATCTATCATTCGTATGTGAAATTTTCAGAACTAAGCAAGTGCTTTGATTAGTATAGTAAATGAGTAATTCCCACCAAAGATTAATGGCGTTATCATGTTCTCCACACGAAATTCAATTTCTATTGAGTTCGCAACGATAAGAATAATTTCAAAATTTCGCTACTTACCGATAATAATTATTAACAGTACAACGCCAATGACTCCCATTATTATCATCATTTTCATGTTGGCCCACCATTGTTTGCGTTTTAATTTTCCAGCCTGTTGCTCGAACTGTGAAGCTCCTTGTTCGAGCGCATCGGCGCGTTCACCCAACTCCGACAGTTTTTGATCACGTTCCAAGACCTTTTCAACGTTCACCTTCATAATACCAACGACTTCATCGACTTTGGCCTGAGTCTGCTGTAAGCGCTTCTGGGCATTGCTTTGTTGGTTGTTATTGCTGGGATACGATGAATTAGGAGGTGGGGGTAGAACAGGAATACTGTACATTATTACTTAGTGAAATGATAACAATATAGGTTTTTGATAATTTGTCTTTGTATATGCATATTAACTAAGCGGGTTAATGAATGCGCGCCGCAAGGGTGAGCGATAAGAAATGCAAATACTAATACATATTATCAAAACAATATAAAAATTTAGTTACTTATATGTAGCATGAAATTATGATGATATACAGAATGAATGAAGTTATACAATTTCAGGTAGAATGGAAAAGCTAACTAAATTTTATATATGTACCTATATGTACACTTACTCATTTGATCCCGACGCGGTTGGCACATCATTTCGGTTATCCATTTTTATATGCGATATGTTAACTTGCAAATTAAGTCTAAAAAAAATGTTAAACAAATTTTAGCAAATCTATTAAATATATGTAGTATATAAAAATAATATTCTTAGCATATTAATTATATTAGCACGCATGCCGACGTCATTAATATCATGTGGATCCATTGGATTACTCATTGGCGTAGACAAAACCTCGCCCTTTGCGGCAAAAGGTCAATTTTACACAGCTCACCTGTGCACTCTTATTTCCACAAATCTATTTTTTATTAAAATTATTAATCTCAACTCCAACTCTTTCAATGCGTATGAATCATTGGTTAACTTTCGATGTTATTGGAGCAAATACGGTAAAATAAAGAAAAACTTGTTGCTCTTTTGCTCCCTTTTACACTGCATTCTTTTTCACGCACAAATGAAAAACCGAAAATTATTTCCAAAATTCCTTAACTTACCACGGCTTTTTAATATTTTTTATAAGTGTATTTCTTACACACAAGATTTTACTTGCGTTCTTATTGCTCTACAAATACTAAAATAAACACAAAGTAAATCAAAAGAAATGAAAATAATGCTGCCGAAGAATTTCCAACGCAATGATGAATAACTGACGGTGTTGCCTTCTTAAATAAAATTTTAATAATACTAAAAATTTTGTGTAAATACAGCGTTGCATTTACCTGTCTTAAAATGTTTGAAATAATGCAATGTCATGTGTGTATGAAAATTTAAATGTATGTACATTAAGACATGACATGCTATTTATATCATTTTATTTCATTTGTTCATTACTTAATAATTCTTACATAGATTTGATTATAAAAAGTGTTAAGGGTATTGACAGGCTATGTATTTATTGTCCATATGAAAACTTATAGTACATTCACACTGTCTCATTTAAGCGGTTTTGTTCATTAACGCCACTAATAAGAATGATATACTACACAAATTGCTTTCATGTTAATCATATCATTATCAATAAATTAGCTCATTTAAGGCGAAAAATGTCGAATGCAACTCGTAAAAATAAATTTCCCACAAGGGAAAATTTCAAATATGTGTCATATGTTTTATATGTAGTATGTAAACACACAGCAGCTGAACTGAAAACAAACACACTTCCTCAGTAAGTATTTAATAAAATCTTTATTTTTATTAATTAAATATGTATTTGATATATGAAATGTATATAAATGATTTAATATAACAATTATATATATAAATTTTTTGTGTGATATATAATTAAGTGAACCTTATGCTTTGTTCAAACACACCTTAATTTCATAAAAATCTTAATTTTACCTTCGTTTCAGCGAAGATAAGTTATTTTTACCATACAAAATTCAGTTTTGACATTAGAATGATATTAAGGAAAATTGCCCTAATTTCGCTGAAACGAAGGTTCAAAGGGTCATTTTAAGTGCACCTATGCGTAAGATAAATATCAAGTAAAAGATAAAGTTGAGATAACAAAAAAATGACATTTTTTTTTCAATAAATGTCAGTGACAGTTGACTTCAATAAAACCGGGAAATATTTTCAAAGTAGTGCATATTATTAAATTTAAATATGGAGAAAGAACAGTAACTCTTATTAATTTAAGATATAGTCAAAAGTAATAATTCAAATACCTGAAATCCACTAAAGCTAACAAAATTACTGAATGCCATCCACTATAGTTATAATAATCAACTTTTAGAATTTCCCAGATACAAATGGTGTTTGGAGCATGTAATTTTTAACATTCGATTTGTAAACAAAAAACATATGATTTCCTTAATTTGGCGGATTATGGACACTTTCGAAATGAACTTAATTTCATTTATATGAAATTAAGAAAATTTGGCTATCTGAACATAGTATAATAAAAGTTTTTAAAAATTGCTTCAGCTGCATAAATGAGCTCATTGTAATGTGAATGCTTACTCATTTATATAAATCAGCAAGTGCTTAAATGAGACAATGTGAATGTACTATTAATTGAAATAGTATAAACGTACTTTTAAACTTTAGCGGTAAATATAACATCAAATTAATCGAAATTATTAAACCAGAGACTTTCGGCAACTTTTAAGTGTGGCCAAAAAACAGTGTGAATGTACTATTATACTAAGTTTACGCCTACACCATGTTTTTACTGAGACAGTTTTGCTAATTATGGACGGTAATGAGGATAATTTAATATACAAAGTGTTTTAATGCAAATAAGCTTATTATAAATAAATTAATTCATAATTTATTGTTTTAATGATCAAAAATTTTAAATAATAATTCTGTTTTTAAACGGTCTAATTTATCAATAGTTAAATAATACAGATCGCATTTTTTAAAAAACAAAAAAAAATTTTTTTAAATATGATTTATTTAACTATTGTTCAATTAGCCCGTTTAAAAACAAAAATATTATTATATCAACTCATTTAATTCGAAAAATGTCGAATACAACCCTTTAAAAAAATTTCCCACAAGGGAAATGACCAAAATTTAAAATATTTGTTAAATATTTAATATGTAAAATGTGAAAAAATAAGCTATTTCATATGCATAAATCAGCTCATACCAATGGAAATCACCAAATCTTAATTACATTAATATAATTAGTTTTCGCTGCAGTAGAAACATGATATTAGATATATCGAACTTTTTTAGAATATTTTTAAGTAAATTTTGTTTTGATTTTAAATTAAAATTTTTGTATTGCTGCATATCTACCCTTACACTTAGATGTACCGAATTACTTTAAATGCATCCAAACCAAAACGAACGCTTACGAACTAACATATTTTTGAAGGCGCGGTTACCTGCGAATGTTGGTTCGTTCGCAAGCTTTCGTTTTAGTGTGGAAAAGTTGTCCTATATTAGTCAATCGAAAACGACAGACTTTGATTTATGGAACTACTTTAGCATATTTTGATAAAGATTTTGTATGAAAAATGCTACTTATCGTTGCATATCGGTCGAGTTCAGTGTAATAGTCTAAATATGATACTAAGATCTGAACAAATTTTTAGATTCATGTCAACACAGCAACTGACATTCATATAAAGTATTAATTACCATTTGTTATATGTAAACTACATCACTTTTTTACAAAAAAAATATGAAAATATGAAAAGCCATAATTAAGATTAAATTAAGATTTGCTATGTGAACAAGTTTTTAGTAAAGCGAACGAGCAAAATTAAAATCCAAATTACAATTATTTGTGCGGTTTGAATAGATTACTAAAAAATTTTAATTAATAGAACTTATAGCATACAAAAATCATGTACATATATATTTCGTTTAAATTTCGAAAAATAATAATATTTTATCTAAATACAAAGAGTTAGCTCTAGTTTGTGCTATGAGAAAAAATTAAAATTGTAGTTGTTAATTTTATGATTATTTGTTTTCTTATTTTCTTATTAAAAATTTTTTTAAATGAATATTGCTTTATTATTATAATAAATTTTTAACTCCATGATTTAAATTACAATAAAATACCTTAATCATTAGTTATCACTGCTATGGATTCATTGTATAGCATGCTACCGAATATTCTCTAGCATGCAATAAATTACAATAGAGCGCTTTTTATAGAAAAAAATCGCAAGAAATAAGCGTAAGTTAACACATGAAATAAAACTATTTAGATTATGCGAAATGAATAGTAAAAAACAAAAAATAAAAATAAATAGAAGATTAAACCTTAATTTGACAAGACATACTTATGGATGGAGAATTTTATTAAATGTTTGATATTTAATAAAATACTAATCATTCGCATGTGTATTTACATATTAAAGCTTCTGAAAATTTAATATTAATTTTGTTCCTTGCTGCAATTTTATTTATCTTTTTTATTGTACTTTTTCAGAAAATAATATAATGTTAATAAGCTAAAATAAGATCAGACTACTGAAATGAGGTCCAGCGTTGTTGTGAGGCTACTACTCCTTGTGGCCATTGCAACAATAGCATCATTACTTTTTCTAACAAAATGTGGTATTGGACCCGATGAAAATCAAAACAATGGTAAACCATAAAAAAATATTGATAACGATATTACTATATATTAAAAAACCAAAATAAATCTTAGGTCACCACATCATACGGGAACTTCGTTCGTTATCTGATGAAAAGCAACCCCAACCTTATGTCATGTCTTCCATAAGCGTGTTTCTACAACGCGAACTAGAATATAAGCAACAAATCAAAAAACTTAATTTAGAAATTCAATATCTTAGACAACATATCGACCAGTTAAAAAGTAAGTTTCATAATATTTTACACTCTGAACTTAACATAAAAGCTAACTATGAAATTCACTATCTTTTCAGCAAACACAAAAATGATTGAGAATCCAACGACAGCAATGTCCACGCGAAGTATACCTGGTAACACTACCTTTAGTACCCTCAACATATTGAGAAGTTCCACTAAAAATATGAACAGTATGAGTAGTTCCTATGACTGCAGCAGTTACATACGCAAACAAGTCGGAAATGCGGAGATATTACACGGTCTACCACTGAATAATGAGTACGAATTAATACCCTTTAACCATTTCACTTTTGCGCGCATGTATCCTATTGAGATTGGTTTGGGTAAGCGAGTTGTAGAAAAACCGATCGGGTATAAGCGTAAGGATTTATTAAATGCCTTGAGTAAAGCATTGGAGAGTATTAATAAATATTTGTCCAATAAAGCAAACAAGAAATCTGCAAATTTTCACAATGAAAGTGCAAAACTAACCATGGATGACTTTATAGAGGGCGTCTTTCGTACTGAACCTACCACCGGTACTCAATATGAGTTATATTTCCGTAATAAGCGGATGACTAAGTTTAATTCTATGAGTTCGAAGAGCAATAAGATTAACAGTACAAATAGTTCAATTATTAAAGTTCTACTTATGCGACCTTTTGCACCAATGCAAACAGTACAGGTTACCCCAATGCTTACAACCTATAGCAAGGATATTTCAATAAATATTATTTTACCACTCTCGGGTCGGACGTCTACCTTCAAAAGTTTCATGGAGAATTTTATGAAGTTAATAATAAACAATGAACAACATCTGCATCTGACTGTTGTTTATTTTGGAGAGAAAGGTCTAAAGGATGTCCGTATTATCATGAGCCGAGCTATAAAAGCAAGTAATGGTTTGTACTCCTCCCGCATGAAACTGCTTGCACTTAACGAAACATTCAGTAGAGCAAAGGGAATACGAGTTGGTGTTGAACGTGTAGGGAATAATGAAACAAAAGAAGATGCTCTACTATTTATGTGCGATGTAGATGTTGTCTTCAATGCGAAATTTTTAGATCGTTGTAAATGGAACGCAGAACCCGGGAAAAAGGTATATTTTGATTTGAATAAGTTTAAGTTCTGTTTGTTAAAATAGATATGATTGTTTTACATTTTTTTAAAAAGTATAATACTCAATAATTGAGAATCCTTATACTTATTTTTAAAAGTAATAAGGACGGACATTTGAAATGATTTCATTTAATTTCTTTTTCTTTTTTAATGGTTCCAATTAGATATAACAAATTTATATACCAACTTATATTGATGTATTCTTATAAATAAATTGTAGCCACAATGAAAACAGAATATATATATTTAAAGATAGTACTAAGTTGATCAGCTTGACTAGTGAAACTATCTAATATACATTCTGAAGTATTTTTCTGAAAGATCTGCGAAATACCTATCTATATTAGTTATAAACTTTTCATTTGATTAACATTTTAAGAGAGTATTCCATGGTGTGAGACGGACCAGAAGTTTAATAGAGCGAAGTCTGTAGTAGTCCATACTTTTATTCATTGATTAAAAAAGTATAATTCTGAGCAGTATAAGTTTGTCGGTTTGCAAGATTGAAAGTGATCTTGTCAGGACACTCAGGAAAAGCTGAGTTCATACCACTTCTTTGTTGCTTGTTTTGAAAAATGGCAGTAGAATCGATTGCTATTCATTGTATTAAATCGACGTTTAAAATCTTTTTGATCGTTTCTAAACAGATCTAGATAAGACATTTTAATATGTTGTTATTGTTCAATGGTTATCTTTTTATATTAATGCGATGAATGTGTGTCGCATTTCAAATTGGCACCCATGATCGTTGATCGTTAACCATCTCTATCAAATCACGAACTTTTGAAACCAAAAATAAAGTTTTTGAGACGATTTCTGGTTTTCAAGAAATTTTTGTACATTCTTCATATGGGTCGTTTTTCAGGCTTTAAGAGGTTTTAGAGACGATTTCTGGTCTTCATGAAGTTTTTGTTCATACTTCGTATGGATCGTTTTACAGGCTTCTTCTACAAGTAATTAACGGATTATATTTTTCGAAAAAATTCATTACTTTATCATGAATTTTCACTGTCGTTAAATATTTCTTGCAAATAATTTGATCACTGCGCAATATCCAAGTCTCTCCGTTGTTAAGAAATATATTAAAGCATAAATTCAGAATGGCGTGTGAAGAAAGTATGGATTGACAGATCGAAATGATCGAATTCGAACATTGAATTTTATCTAAGTTCTTATGAATTTAAAATTTCATCTTAGTTTCAGTTCTGTTGACGTATTATTTATTAATTATAGGAAGATTTTTTAATTTATTAATATAAATTAAATTAATACTGAGGATTTTTATTTAATAAAAAAAATAGTAAGATATATTATAAATACTTAAGAATAAGAAGTTCCAATTAAATAAATAATTATGTATATTTTTAATTATGTTACATAAATATAATATATAATACTAATATTTCAGGTGTACTATCCAGTAGTGTTCAGTTTATATAACCCTCATGTAGTGTATACACTGCAAGGCAAAAAAATACCATCAGAAGCGGAGCAAATGCAAATTACACGAGATACTGGGTTTTGGAGAGATTTCGGATATGGCATGACTTGTCAATATAAGTAATTCATTTTAAATTGAAAACAATAACAAATATCACATGCTAAATATTTATAAATAATAGATCTGATTTTGTTGACATACGTGGATTTGATGAAGAAATTGTAGGCTGGGGTGGTGAAGATGTTATGCTGTTTCGAAAGTATGTCCGTTCGAAAATTAAAATTGTACGTGCCACTGATCCGGGAATATTTCATATATGGCATCAAAAGGTTATTCGTTTTAAATATATTTAAAATTAATAAATATAATTTATTTTTATACTTACCTAATAGACTTGTAATGGTGTCAATGGCCAACATCTAACTGCCGACCAATACCGTGCCTGTATAAGATCACGTGCCCTTAATGAAGCATCTCATGCACAACTGGGATTCTTAGCTTTTAGAGACGATATTGCAGCACATAATAAAAATAGTTCAGCGACCTAGTTTTATTAATTATTAATACACCTATTAGATCCTATATTCTTATGCCAAAAGAGAACTATAGACAATACTAAAAAAAACCTAATATTTTTCAATCTTGTACAAGTTTCTTCGTTATTTATTATTGGTTGTATCACTCTAGTACAGACTAAACATATAAAGCAAATACATATATATATATATAATGTTCTTTTAAGATATAGCAAATGTAGGGAATTGGCTGTGAAAATGTTATAAAAATATTGTTAATCATTAAAAAAAAGATAAATAGCGAAAAATATTATATTTAAATGCGTTGTGTTTAAGATAATTACATAGCTTATTTTATTTAAGCATTTGTTATAAAATAAGTAGAGATTTGTATATAGGATGCTTATTTAATGAATATTTTATTAAATGAAATTAAAATAATTTAATTTAATAAAAAGAATAAAATAATAAATTGGAATTTTAAATCATATAAATCTAACTAAACTTATTTTAATATATAGTAAGACTTGAGCCTCCATATATGCTTAAGAATTTCTAATTTCCTCTTATAGATAATGTACCGATTTAAAGATATATGCACAAATTTTCATAAACTTGACTATATTATTAAAAATTAATGATTAATAATACTCAATAAATGCCAAGATAAGATTAGGAGCAAGCCATCGCAATGTGGCAAGAAAGATGGAATACAAGATGGTAAAAGTACACAAGAAAGATAAACAGCTAGACTGATATTACTTCCTATTAAACTTATGAATAATTACTAAATACTATTAATTACTACCCCACTCAAATGCTGACCGGACATGAATACTTTTGCAAGTACCGGCACTGCATAAGAAAGGTGGATCTATACGGCTGCATTTATGGCAACGGAGACTATAACAACGCAAATCTCACTTGCTTTTACTGTAGTAGGTGGCTAACATTTAGCGATAAAGTGATAAAACTTCGGATTGGACCAAAAAATTCCAAAAATATTGTGGTGAGATGGGAGCCAGAGAACTGGAAAATGATGTAATTATATAAAAAAAAGGAAGCAGAGAGTAGGCTAATAAATAGGGCGGACATCGAAAAATAAATCAAAAGAGTATGGTTTGCAACGTCAATATAAAAAGAACCTTCACAGAAATAATGCGAAAGGGGTTCCGGGGTGGAATAAATCGGGCACACCATTTCAATGGCGGGTGGTTTGACTGAGCATAAAGCATTCCACCACCACACCGCCAAATGAAAAACAAAAAAATTTATATACATTTCTACTTTATTTTTGTATATCTTTAACGAGGGATCTCCGTACAATATCTACATTACTGAGTTTTTTTTATAGAGTTCACTTAACATGATTGTATGAATAAACAGGCTCATTTAACCCTACAAAAAGAATAATGTCAAAACAGGCATTTTTAGCACTGTCCTGTTACTCATCGGATACACTGTTATGTATACATACTAATCTTGTTCAGATAAACGTTGCAGGGTAGGACCACTTTTAATTTAATCCCCAGAGAGTGTAACGCTTAAATTGCTATTTGGCAATGACTAAAGAATGTAGCATTAGTTTCAGTTTAGTGTCTTTTATATAGTATGTCAGCTTTAACTTTAATGTGTATCAATTCCATTCAAAATAATCGTGCAGGGTCTGATACCTTCTGCTCAAAAAATACTCGGATTTTGTAAATAAAACACACATTTAAATTTTATTCCAAATTTATTTTATCTTCTTCAAAATATGCTCCTTCTGAAGCGATACACATATGCCAACGCTTAACCCAAACTTCCACAATCTTTTCGTAGGCCCGTGAAGGTATGTTTTTTAGTTTCTTCAGCGAATTCTCTTTTGCCGATTCAATCGACTCAAAACGCTTGCCACGAAGGGAAAATTTGAGTTTCGGGAACAGGAAAAAGTCGCATGGATCCAGATTTGAGGAATATGGTGCTTGAGCGATGACAGTGGTGCCGTGTTTGGTCAAAAAATCTCATACAACAAGAATTTTCCATAGTAAAAATCGCTAAATGCACTTGAGGTAGTCTCACATTAACAGCTGCTGTAAACAAACTAATTGACAGATGGCGCTCAAATTTGTACCATATGTCAAGAAAGGGTGTACCAATATAACAAAAACATAACATTGAAAAAGGTCTATTACTTAAGGAGTAGTTAACAAACAACAAAATCCAACAACAATACTTTTTGAGCAGAATGTAATTTATATTCTTTATACTTTATATTGAAATTCAGATAGTAAGCAAGTGATTTTAAGGTAGTTACAGGCGAAGTATTATTTTTTTTGGGTTTTTAAATTTCAGATAGGCATAATAAACGAATTATAAACACTTTTATTTGTATTACTATTTAAAAAAAATAAACTTTAACTCATAGAACTATGAACATGCTTTTATTTTTATATTAATTTTCCAAATGACAACCTTTAATAAAATTTTTATTTATAAATAATTATAATAATTTTGTTTGTTATTTAAACTCATAGTACTTGTATTGTTGTCATCGCTATTATTTCATATATTATTTAACTATTATTTAATACAAAAACATAAGGCAATGAGAATAACTTCGAGCAATGACCTTTGCAATGGATCGGTCTACTAAATAATATGAAATCATTCGCCAGCAAAAGTGCGCATAATAAATTTTTTCAGCACTTACATCTCTTAATTTTCTTGAAGGAAGTGATACACATTTAGTTAAAGACTCACATGAGCTTATATGGAAAAATTAAATATATTAATAAAGTTGGGCAATCTTCGCAGCGTACCGTAAAGTTCATTCCTCATAAGACTTAAGACTTCTCTCGTGTGCGATTGTCTAATATTCATGGTCACGGTAAAAGGTTAACTAAATTATGATGTGATAAATTAGTTTGACAAAAATCACAACTCAACGATGTGAAATGTTTGGGGAGCATGAAATTCTTTACTCTTAACTTCCCTATAATATAATTAAGATTTAACACTAAATTTTATTAAAAAAATTTAAAAAAAATTAATTTCATCTGAAGAATAATTTCCGTTTAATTATATAAATTGTTTTCGAGAACATAGTGTTAACAGTATTGGTTGTAAAAACAAGGAATAATGTTGTCTTATTCATGATAAGTATGCTCTAACAGTTCAAAAGGCTAAATTTAAAGAAAATTTCTTTATTCAAATTAGCATACCTCCGGCTACCCATCTTATGACGGAGTAGTTTCGTTGACAATGAAGATTCATAGTGTAGTTTTAAGGTACACTAGCAGACTGTATAGATTTCTGGTATGCGCACTACTTTAAATCGGGCAACCATACCAATCATTTGGGTATTGATAATAGAGCACCGATTTTAATATTCATGCTAGGGTTGCTTAATAGACATTTCAGTAAAATAAAACCTGAGCACATTTTAGAGAATGTCACACAATCACAATACAGACGATAAAAATTTAATTGTTCCTCTTCTTACACATACATTTAAAGAGAGGTGTTATCCGGTCAACATGTCTGCCTGTTAGTGTGAGGTGCTTATTAGACATTTCAGAAATCGAAAAGATTTTGGTGAATGCTACAGCATTTGATCAAAATTTAATTCTTTTTCTTTCGACCCATTATTTCCATAGTTGAACGAAAACCCTTTCTAATCAACATGTTTGTCTGTTAGATAGAGCCTAGCTAGTATAGCAACTATATTGGATATATTTGCAAGAGGCGACCAAGACCCTACCCAGCGAGATGTCCACCTAGTCAATTGTTTCGACTAGTGAAGCAACTATGTATATATTGGATAGCAAGATTAGTCAGTAGTGTAAAACTCCTGTCAAAAGTAAAATAATAGGTAATTTATGTATCAACACATGGATTTAGGAACATATATCAATAATCTTAATAATTGTAAACAGAAAGGGATCTAAATAAAAGAATCTGAGTGTATAGTGAATCTTTAAGTTAATTCTTTGTTACTACTAAACTGTGAGCTTGTTTCTGGTTTATGGAAATATAACTTTATTCATTATATTATTTAAAGCTATTATGAAAAAAGTGCATCACCAACCCATAACTTTCATATTGGCACGAATTTTTTGGATTTTAAAGAAAATAAAAATAATTCAATCCAAAAATATATAATCCATCAAGTTAATTGAATCACTTTTGCCACTAGTTATAGTTTTTCTGCTTCTAGTAGAAATACTTTTAGTAGTAGAAGTCTGAGTTATTTGGTTGGTTTTGGTGGCAAAAGCTTACTTCTCTGTCCAACTGCCACATAAGTAATTCATTTCTTTATTAACTTCCATGATCAAGCGGCTCAGTCTGGCAAGGCGTAAGCTTTTTTCTTGGTTTCTTTTCTCTTTTTATTTTTCTTTTTCTTTTTCCTTTTCTTTTTCTCCATTGCAGTTTCTACAATTTTCGTTAAAAGAGATGCAAATTTTTTTATCCAAAGCGGTTAATGAGGACAAAACGTAAATGTCGCCTACTGGTAGAAATGTCCGCCACTCAGACGCCGAGCTAGATTTCATCTACTTTGGCGATGTCATAACAAACAACAACGATGTCATTCTTAATATCAGACGAAGAATCACCATTGCGAAAAGGTACTACTATGCGCTCAGTAGGTAACTGGGATGTAGAGTCTTCCCTCGACAAACAAAACTCACGCTCTCTTGGTCGCTCACTCTACCTGTGCTTAGCATGGATGTTATCACAGAATGATAAAGTACTACTGGGAGTGTTGGAGAGAAAAGTTCTTTGTAGGATCTTTGGTCGCCTACGAGTTTGCGACGACAACCGCATACGTATGAACCACGACCTGTACTTGCTTTATCACGACGTTTATATAATTGAGCCAATTTACATCCAGTGGCTTCGATGGCTTGATCATGTCGTAAGAGTGTATGAAGATGCTCGAGCGAAAAAGGTATTTGAAACAGTAATTGGAGAAAGAAGGCATAGAGGCTGACCGTGTCTCCGGTGGAGTGATCAAGTTGAGGGAGCACTAACCTAAACCCGGTAACGAGTTATTATAAGCTCATAAGTAAGTAATTTTTTTAATTAGCAAGGGTGGTTAATGGCCAATGAATTATGGAAACCACTACGAGGTTTACCATATTAATCGTAGCCCTGTCCAGATGGATCCTCGTTCTTTAAGCTCACTTAGTCACAAATAAGGGCCCGTAGTGATACCGCGGATGAGAAACGTATGTACGTTGGACTTTAATTATCTTAAAGGTAGAACTCCCAAACATCTAGTGCACAAGCAGCGTCCTGTTGATAAGATGCGAATTTTCTATTTAAGTAATAAAAAACAAATGTCAGGAATTCATAAAGTTGGCTTGTTTCTAATTTAAAAAGACGACAACTTCGCCAATTCAGTTAGAAAACGTGTTCCAAATATTTTGCATTATCTTCTAGCCGATAATATGCTTTGAGACATTAGGTTGAGCTTAAAGTTATAGAATAGTGAAACTAAATTGGAAAAATTAAAAAGAACTCTCCATTGCCACACTATTAAGACAAATGAAAGTAAATATTGATTACTCACTGATTTCAATTGAATCTTACACTGCTTGACTATGTTGAATAGTGTAGTATGCATGGACATATCAAGTCTTGGAACTGTTCTTGAAGATGGCAATGTATATTCTTCAATCTGTTATTTTAGACTAAAGTGTATTCTTTTGTTTAATAATTATTTTTGACCTGTGAAGAAGCATTTGTCACTTGTTTGTCATAAATTCTTCAGTGCGTCTTCATTTAAGACAATTCGACTTATAATATATTTTTTAAACCGTCACTAATTACTATATTTGATAAATTCTTGATTAAATTTTTGCTATTAAGAAAAAAATGTGAATAACTAAAGCGAATCTGATTAATATCTAAAAAAGCTCAATTTCATTTGTTAGTTCATTTTTTGTATAATTAATGTCGTATGGCAGTTTTGAGAACTATAAATAATAATTTTAGAGATTAGCGCATCTTTTCAGAATTATGTTAATGATCAGATACGATTGTTGTACGATGATCTGTTCAATGGATGCACCCATTTAAACTTCTTCCAAGTAAATGACATTGAATTAATGAAATAATAGATGAGAATTAGACGACATATGAAAACTGAAGCATGGAATTGTTGAGATACGTCCGTTGCCGTAGTTAATTGTGATTGCGTTGAGTACGTCATGGGGGAGTTTAACCCGACACCAGCTTGGGTTATTAACACGTAACTAATAACTTCTGAAGTATTTAGTTACGCTTTGAATTATTATGCAGACATATCGAAATCCGCGAAACTCTCTGGAGAGCGAATTTTGAATTTTTTTTATATTCCATCATTATTTTATTATTTATTTTAACTATATGAATATGCAGATAATTTCAGAAAAATGTTTATTTTTCGTTTCTGTTCAGTAACTTTGAGTAGTTAGCGCGGGTGTTTGCGGTAATTTCAAGCTAAACGCAAATCCACAACTACCAAAATAAATCGTTCTGAACACATGAAATAAATATCAAGTCGATGACAGATCTGTACGCATTCGCATTTTGTGTTCAGGTGTCAAAGGTTGTTGAAGTACATTTCGGTGTTCTGAGATTGAATTGTGTTCCCAAAAATCGGAGTTTGGTGAAAATAATTTAAAAATAAATAAAAACTGGCATGAAAAAATAGTATTGTTAAAAACATATTGCTGAAAAATTGATAAAATTCGAAAGTGTTGAAAAAATATATTATTTAAAATTAACAAAATGAAGTCATATAACTTGGTATGTACTAAACCAAAATTATTGGAACTAATTTTTAAAATTGCAAAATTGAATGAAAAAATTATAATGTTCTTATATTCGGTGATTATAGTATATTGGTTGCATAAGTTTATTTCATCTAATAAATTTAAACAGTTTTGGCATTACAGTCCAAATAAAAAAATTAGAAAGTTACTATACATGTGCAAAGTTATTACTGTTACTGTATCCAACGTTATAGATAGTGGTACATTTCTGGTTTCAAAAAAGGGGATCACCGAAACTATGACCTAACCGTCATAGGACGATTCCTATATGTAGGAAACAGATATAGTGACTTTAATGCAAAAAAAGTACTTCCTATATTTCTTAAATCTTTAAATTGCAGTAGGTACACAGCACAGATGTTCGTTATGGATCGTTCGGATTGCTGTTATAGTTCGCAATAATATAAACCCATTTAATATCACATTTTCGAAACTTTTTATTTTAATAATAAAAAGTTGTACATTAATATTAATAACATTAGTACGAATTTATTTAGTTTTAATACAATCCTTACATAAAGAGTTTTGGTAGACTGGATAGACCCAGTTATTACCCTTACATTAATTTTGCAAGTGCTTTCATATCGTTATTGACTACAATACGACATTAATAAGTAGTTTCGTGGAGTATAATAGTGGTCTATATAAAGAATTATGGATTTATAACAATAAAAAAATCCTACTTACACCATAGATGCCATCAATCTTCAATGATTGTTTCTGGGAAGGTACTGAAAGATAAGAGTTCATGAGTGCTGTTAGTATTGACAAAAATAGAAATTTGTAATTAAATAACATTAACAGAATAAGTGTTTGGGTTTAGACCTGTAAACTGAGGATGGGTCGTGGTATCACAACATTAAGTATTAGTTAATTAAGTTAATTAATTAATTAAGTATTAGTGCTTTGGAGCACAAGGCTACTATTCCTTACCAGAAGATGGAAGGAAGAGTTGAGCTGAAGCATTTCAGAAATGAATCGAAGAACTATTTATATATATATAAATATTTTACTATTAAAGCACCATGAGCTTTTAAGAAAACTTTAAATTTCTTAAGTTTTTGAAATTTATTTGAAACTTTTGGCTATGGACCTGTGCAGTTTCATACAATAAAATAAAAATAACCATTTATTGATTTACCTTGCCAAAACTAAAAGTA